AGAATTTTTGCCAAATTCTGCAGTTTGAAATTGACTGAACATGTAGACTATTCAGTTATGTTGCCCATTTTCCAATTGGATTACTGGGAGGGGGGGTTGGTGGCTGATTTTTAAGAGAACTTTTGTACTTCTGACCTTAGATCAAAAGTAAATTCTGAGCCCATACCAGGGTTAACTATAATGAAAGGATTACCCTAATACATAAAAAAACAGGGAAATATATGGGATTAAATTAATACTTTTCTGGTCTTTAAGCACTGTCTAAATATCTGGAGTATCTACGGTGAAACAGTTATGCTATACCTTCCCCTAAGCACAAACAATAAAGCATTAATGCTTAAGAATGTCTGCTCAGTGGGAAAAATTTCTGTGCAAGTCTCAGCGTCACCACTTCCCAACTGTTTCACCTAAGGTCATCACTTCACCTTTCTAGAGTTGTAGAACACTCTGCAAGTTGTTCCCAACAGTAACACCACCCAGTTTATAGTGCTGCTATGTGGATTAAATGTAATGATAGTTGAAAGGTACATGCCTAGAATATTAAATAAGTAAGAGTCAGCAGTTCATTAGTCTTTAGTAGGAGAAATGTATGTGGGGAAGGTAGAGAAAGAGTACTTTTATTTTCTAATACATTAATCAAAGCAAAAAGGAATTTATAGTTAGTAAGAAACAATGTGAAGAGATGAACATGTTACCTTTAGTTTCGATGGCCGAGAGTCAATAATCACATTTCTTGTGGGCCAACTTAATATACCAGGAAGATGATCAATCACATTCCTTGCTGCCTGAAAGTGTATAAGAGCTTCTGCAAAACTAAAGTCATAATTAAGAAAAAACAAAGTAGAAAGGTGTGATATGAATGCTTCCCCCCAATATTAGTTCTTTTTATTATTTTAAATTTGTTGATTAAATGGAAAAAAAATAATAGCAAAATCGGTCCTTTTTTAACAATTGGGAGCTCTGGTAGCACAGTGGGTAGGGAACTGCCTTGCCAAAAGTATACCTTGTATGGTGGTTTGAATGCATTAACCATTCCACAAAAGAAGGACAGAAAGTCTCATCCTGTGTGATTTAGTCTCTGAAAATACACTGATGATTTAGCTATGAGTCTAATTTCAACACTAAGGGGAAACCTTCTAGGTCATCCCAATCGTCCTGGCTTCCACTGTGCTACCATGCTACCTTACACCTCTATGCTTCTTTCCTAAACCTGATGACTGCCCGCTGCAGTAAACTTACATCAGAGAAGCAAGTCTTTGAAAATGACTCTAAACAACTGACCCTTACCCTTGATTATATTTTACTATTTATATTAAAGTGATTCTTAATCTCTTTGCTCTTTCTCTATCTGATCTTTAATAGACTCCAGGCTAGCCAGAGAGTAACTTCCAGGAAATTAAAACAAAAACCCCCAAAACCTTTAAAAGTCTGTAAAGGAGTCTCTGTAAGAACTCTCTACTACTGAGTTCCCAAGAGTACTGGGGGTTTCTTACAAAACTGGAAGAATCTGTTCTGGAAATGTTCTGGAAAACAACGTATTTAAATTGTACATAAATTAGTATAATAAAAATAAATGAAAAGTTAAGGATAATGAAAAGTTATAATCATCAAGCAGTTTTTTGTAAAGTTATCTACATACCTACACTACATTAAATACATAGTTCCAAACTGGAACTCAATACACATAATCCTATTTCCTAAACTCAAGAGGTAATCCTATGTCCTAAGGATTAAACACACAGACAATTTGGGGAGACACGATTAAGAAACACGAAACACTTTAGAACAGTCATATAGTAAACTTTGATCTTCAAATATAATACAAGTGCAGAGACAAAAAGGTCCCTCCATCTGTATCCATATGTGTTTGAACATATTTGCTATTGGTGGATCTCCAACTCCTGGTTAACCCCAGATCCAAGTGAACCAGTGTGACCCGCAGGGTCATTGGCTGATTCTGGAAGGAGTTCACTAGCACCTTCCTCCTAGTCTGTGCAGTGTGGCTCCACCTTCCTCCTAGTCTGTGCAGTGTGGCTCCACCTTCCTCCTAGTCTGTGCAGTGTGGCTCCACCTTCCTCCTAGTCTGTGCAGTGTGACTCTGCTGCAGCCTGTTCAGCATTACAGCAGCGCATAAGCCTCACTGACACCCAAGCGGCCCCAGATAGCAATCAAGCATATATGAATTCTTCAATTAAAAACTATCTATTAGAGATTAAAAGAACAAATTTATATCAATTATGTTGCTATTTGCAGATGATATACACTTGAAAAAGACAGTATTAAATCCTTCATGTCCAGTTATTTTATTATTGATACTCTCTTTAGAATGGGAATAACACCAGAAACTGGACTGATTTGCCTTATTTTAATAATCAATAGTGGTATTGAACTGCCATGTCTTTAAAGTAAACCCACAATTGTAACAGTGTTTCACAAAAATATATAAGTAATTTCAAAAAAGAAATGATATTATTTCTGACTTCAAATTAGTTAACAGTCCAGATTTTGAAGCAGTATAGTTGCTACTAACCTGTTCTCTTTCAAATATACACTTCCAATTCCACAGTACGCCAAACAATCAAGTCCTTCACTGGGGCATAAGGAAAGAATCCGCCTGAACTGCTTTTCAGCTTCAGCTAATTCCTTAAACAATGAGAATAATGATGATTTAGAGAAAAAGAGAAATGTTGAATACATTTATCTAAAGGCTGACGTGTGTGTGTGTGTGTGTGTGTGTGTGTGTGTGTGTACTTTTCAAGGAAAATGTGCATCCCAAATTCCTAGAGTAAAATTATAATTTTTTATTTTCATTTTCTGAACAATTATATAAATTTTGATCACATATATTTGGAGACACAGCCAAAGAACTTCTGCTGGTGAATTAAAAGTGGGAGCTAACCATTATCAGACAAGCAACTAACCGTCAATCATTTATGTACTATCACACACTGAAGCTATTGATGTGTAAATAGTAAATCCTGTACTAGCTTCCACTGAGACAATTCCAATTTATGGTGACCCCATGTGTGTCAGTGGGGAACTGAGCTCCACAGGATTCTCAGTGGCCCATGTGTCAGAGTGGAACTGGTTCCACCAGGCTCTCAATGGCTGACCTTTCAGAAGGAAACTACCAGTTCTTTCTTCTGAGATGACTCTGGGTGGACTCAAACTGCCAACTCCTCTGCTAGCAACCAAGCTCCTGCACCACCCAGGGACCCCTAACTCTCACTGTTGTGGTTAGCTGCTGTCCAGCTGACTCCAACTCATGGTGCCTCACCCAATGGGATCAAACCATTTTGATCTACACCATTATCACCAGCTGATTTCTTGGGAGCTTCTCCTTGACTATCATGGTCTGGAAGCTCTGCTGAAAACCTGACCCCCATCAAACTGACGTGCAAGCCTCCAATGACAGACAAGTGATGGATGTGCCTGAAATGCACTGGCAGAGAAGCGAACCTGAGCCTCCACAAGAAAAGCAGGAATTCTCCCACTACATTAGAAAGAAAGAAAAGAAACTACATGTGGTCTGACTACAGCATATAATAGGGTAAGCGCCACTCTGAGAAGACAGCAATGGTTCCAGCGATCCTCTCACAGCTTAGACATAGTATGTCTTAATAATAGCTCCTTTAGACTAACTTTTTTATTTACTTCACTCTTCTTTGCTCCAAATGAGCAGAGATTAATAGTTGCAAATTTGACAGACACTTGACCAAACACTGACCCCAGTCACTACTCACCGTATTAAGATGTAGAACATTGTCTCTGTAGACCATGTTATGAATGGGTGCCCGCTGTCTAGGGTCCTGACCATCCAGGCCTAACAGGCCCACATTTGATTATGGCTAAGAAGTTTTCACGATTTTGTCTCCATTTGTCCTATTATCTACCTGGATCAGATTATATGACTAATGAACCGCCTAAACTTCAGTCTCTATAATCCTGAGACAGAAGAAGTGGATGGTGTTCCATGACCACAGCTAACAGGGATTACAACAGAAGGCCCCTGACAAAGAGGGAGAGAAGTGTGAAACAAAAGTCAAAATTATAAAAAAGACCCGGCTTATAGGTCTGACAGAGGCTAATGAATCCTTGAATCTACAGCCCTTAATCACCTTTCAAGCCTGGAATTAAAATCCCTCCCCTGGTTCAACTTCTAACCAAACAGGCCTATAAGATGATCTACAGTATCAAGGAGAAACCCACTCCTTAGATCAATCACATATGATCAAAACAGCACATCTGCCCAAAGATAAAGCTCAGAAGGAAGGGAAGGTTAAGGAGGAACAGAAGGCAGAGAGGTAATGGGAAGAGTGCCATTATGCAATGAAGACTAATCAATGCCATGAAAGAGAAAGTATATGCACTGTTGAATAGAAAACAAACCTGCCCATAAACCTATACTCAAATCACAAACATAAAAAAATTGCTCTTTGGAAAAGTTTTACAGAATCTAGGGATCTTTCTGCTGATTATTCTCAACACTAGGAGCCTCTATGCTTTGAATGTGTTTTTTTTTGAGAATGGGGAGAGAAATTTAAAAGATACTCAATTGTAAGCAATACTGAGAACCTGGCTGTGGATCGGAAGAGAAATGCCACTATGAAGCAGCGCTGATATTGCTCCAGAAGCAGATGCTTTGCGGACAGTCCAAAGGGAAGGGAGCATTCCAAAAGTGTTCAGAGCAAGGAGGGTATTAGACTGAATGACGGTTTCCTTTGGGGCCCACATTTAACAAAATTCATTTAGATATATGAGCTCTACCATGTCTGTTTAACTAAATCTCACCACATTTCAGTCAATCACAAATGTAATAAGCTATTTCTTCAATGCTGATTGCAGCAAAAACACAATTAAGATATGCACTACTGTTATCTGAACATAGGAACTGGTATCAGGAAGTGCTGTCCTCAAGATATACTAAAAAATAAAACTGGACAGCCCATCTATACAGCCATTCAACATCCCATCAGGGACAAGGAAAGAAACGTGGCACAAAGCTGAGCCTCAGGTCCTGTGGAAACCAGAGACAGAGGAGCATAAAGAACACTTAGCTCCTAGTTATGCAGCAATTCAAGGTTGAATCTTCATTGAATCAAGCAAGCTTGGAGCCTAGGTTGGTGGAATGGGTACGTTACATCTGAGGCCGCTCCGGAGCCACTGCCACATTTATAGAAAACTCAAAACCAAGAGAGGACTTTATGATGCAAAAAAGTAAACACTTCAAGAGTGGAAGGAAAAAACAAGTACAATGGAAGTTGTGTGCACCGATATCTACACATTGACTGGGGGAGGCTCTGGGAAGCCTGCACCCTAGAAACCAAGCATTTGAGTATACAACACCCACAATGAGTAGATAGTAACATCTTCTGCCCTCATTGGGTCCCCCCCCCAATAAAACAGTATAACACAAAGATGAAGACTTATTTTGTTAACGTCCCTGGCCCATCCTCTAAATGCAAGCATTCTCATATTTGATGTAGAGCTAGTTTCTGTGCTAAACTCTAATGAGACAGATAAATGCACTAAACTGTACAGAGTATGTTTCAGTAGGCTTTTCAAGTCATAGGTAAGCAGCACAACGTTTGCCATGTCCTCCACCTTCATTTTTCCTTTAATATAACGTGAAATCTCTTATGATAGGCTCGCTCCTTACTTTTTATACAAACAAAAGCTGAGTTCTACTGGTTGTGTGGCATACTTTCTAAAAAGAACACAACTGAAATTTCATTAAAGCAGAAATAATTTGATCTTGGCTATTTCACATAAAATTAGAAGGAAAAACCCCCCAGAACCCACAAGGTTAGAAAATGAGCCCAAACTAAAAAACTACTGTAATCCGTACTCTAAAGGTGCACTTTGCCTTAATAAATACCTCTTCACTTCTTACCTCAGGCTTTCCTATTCCAAGCAGAGAGAGGCCAAGCCCATAGACCACTAGGACACAGTTGATCATGGTCAGGTTCTTTTGCTGTCAATAAAATGCTCCAGTTAAAAGTCTACACACTATTCCACCAAATTCGACAGAATACTAACCTTCCAGTTACCACTATTACCTTAAATAGGAGTAATAAAAATAATCAACATGACTGGCTTAAAAGGTAAAACTGAATTAGAAGGTATGTGCAGATATATAGCAAAATTATAATCAAGTACTTAAGACACTGAATCATGAGCTCTGGTGGCCTAGTGGCAAGAAGCTGCACTGTAATCCCTGAGGTATGTGGTTCGAATCCACCAGATGCTGTGCTGGAGAAGGAGGGACCTTCTCCTCCTCCTGTACCAGTCAGATCTGATTTGACGGTACACACACAAAAAATAATAAAATAAAGAAAAACTTTTAAAAAAGACACTGAATCATTGCTTCTCAGAACCTTGGAAAACCATGGTTCATAGCAGATTAATTTGTAGAATCCTACTATTTTGCATGTAAGTGGGCACTAATGATAGGTCAAGACATCTGATCTCTAATAACCCTGTGTATTTATTTGATCAAATATTTATATCTGGATGCAAAGATATGAGACTGAAGTCTGATGAAACCCATGTTTTTAACTGTACTAAGAGTCCAGGAGTGTTAATGAATACAAATGACACTACAAGGAGGGCACATAAGAATCTGTCACAAGTGAAGCATAACCGTATTTGCTTCACACACCTTGGATTAGATTCAATCCATCTCAGAAAGTTCTAAGGTCTATTAATACCATGGAATGAAAGCCTTGATTCTCTTCTACAATCACCTGAGAGGCATCTGAGCTGATAGGCAACTTACGATAGAGCAATTTTACCTTTATTTTTTGAGGATCTAAACCATTTAGCAAAAGTGTAAAGGCCTGTACAGCACAGTGACACCGCCGGTCCGATAAAGCTGTGTAGCCATCTTGCATTAGGCCTCTCAGCAATTTCATTAAAGTAACAAAATCCTGTAAAAAAGAAACTATTTCAGTATCCAGATCTATTCAACTTTACCCTAAATCTTAAGATGCTGAAGTTCATCATGTCATTGCTGTCACACGCCACTGAGCCGGATCCAAATCACAGTGACCCTAGGTATAAAATCACCAAACACTGCCCAGCACTGGGCCAGCCTCATAATCACTGTGTCTGAGTCTGCAGATGTAGCTACTGTGACAGCCTTCCTCTTCTGTTCCAACCCTCTAGCAAGCATGAGGGTTGAGTGCCTCCTGATAACTTGTCCAGAGCACGTGAGGTTAGGGCTAAATCATTCTCTTTCTAAAGAGCACTTTGGTTCTACCTCTTCCAAGACAGACTTGTTCTTCTGGCATATTAAAAATCCTCCATTCTCCATCAGTACCATAATTCAAAGGCATGACTTCTTTAGTCTTCCTTATTCATTGTGGTGCTTTCAAAATGACATGAGGCAACAGCTAAAGAACACAGCTTGAGTCAGGTATATCTTAGTCCCCTAAATGGTATCGTCACTACTAAACACTTTTAAGAAGTCTTTTGCAACAAATTTGTCCTATGCAGTTCATCATTTGATCTCCTGACTGCTGCTTCCACAGGTGTTGACTGTAGATCCAAGTAAAATGCAATCTTTGACTTCAATCTTTTTGCCATTAATCACAATGCTGATTTAGGGTCCAATTGTTAGGATTTGGGGTTTCTTTATACTGAAGTATAATTCAAACTGAAAGCTATACTCTTTGATCTTCCTCAGTAAGTGCTTCAAATCCCCTTCACTTTCAGCAATACCCATCTGGGTATTAAAAAGTCTTCCTCTAATCATCTCTGATTATTTGCTTATTATACAGATTCAACAGATATTAAGTATACATCTGTTGCACCTCTTTCCCAATTTTAAACTACACAGTATCTCCCTGGTTCTGCTCAAACAATTGATACATAACCATAATTATGTTGGCCATTTAAAAACACACTCAAACTCAAAGGTTCAGCTCACAGCAATCCTCCACAGGTTTCTGAGGCTATAAAACATAACGGAAGGAGACTGCCCATCCTTCTGCCTCAAAGCTGCTGGTGGATTCGAACCACAACCTTGGGTTCACAGTGTAACATATTATGGACTCTGCCGCTAGAACTCCTGAGTGTACCGGAGTGGCAATGTGTGATAACCGATAATAAAATGCTCAATGCCTGAACGACCCTTTTAATGAATTATATTCCTTTCTTAATTCTAAAGTGAAAATAAGAAAGTCCGGTTGTCCCCATTTTGATTCCCACTGATGCCTCTATTTCACTTGGCAAAAAAGGATAGCTTGTGTCACATTACAGAGTAAAAGCTTTGCTTATTTTTCCAGACTAAATAGATAATATTTTGACATTTTAATAGCAGATAATGGGAACATTTGTCACCATTTAGGCAAGCAAATTGTTTGGCTGAGACTTGTTCAATTAGGTACTTCAAAACAAATAGGCAATTAACTGATCATTATCCATTTTAACAACTGCCATCCTACCCAGAGGAGCCCTGGCAATGCAGTAGTTAAAACGCTTTGGCTGTTATCATTACAGTCAACATTTCTTTTTTTTCCAAGTTCATAAAGAACTTGGATTTCCATTCATTCATTCATTGTTGCACATTTTCCTCCCTGCCCCCCCACTCCAGTCGCTTTTTTACTTTGGGAAAAAAGCTCTTTCATTGTTACACAGTCCTCCGCCCCTAGACACTCTACTATACAGCTCTTATAAAATCAACATTTCAAACCCACCAGCCACTCCATGGGCGAAAGATGGGACAGTTGCTTTCCACAAAGATTTCCAGCCTTGGGAACTCTAAGTGGCAGTTCCACTCTGCAGTACAAGACTGTCTTCATGCTATGAACTTGAATCCACACAACAGTGTGTTGGGTTTGGTTTGGTTTTGTCTCCAATAAACCTTAATTCTAAACAGAGAATGGCAGTTTCAGTCTTTACTGACATGCATAACATGTAACTGAATATGATTGAATACAAATGTCTGGAGAGATGCCAGTTGGTTAAAAATTAAAGAACACAGGAACTAAAAACAAAATCAAAACTGCTGCAATATACCCTGAAATAAAGTGGAAGACAATATACTTTGCAACTTGAACACAGGGTGGGCACATGTATGTAATTTGAATTCAGATTTCAGTTGCATCGTTTTGGGGTTTTAATTAGTTTAAAGTTGCATCACTGGGCTGAGTTTTGCTCCACACTCACTAATGGCTATAATCTCTGAAGTTTCACCACTCCCTATGGTACAAGGAAGCCTAGTCATTTTTATGTTTTTGGATGTGTTCCTTCTATATTTTCTGAGATTTCCCCCATAGTTTCTGCCCACTCTGTCAAGGATCTGCTGCTGCTGTCCCTCTTAGAGAACTCAGCAGAATACCTGGGTCCCCTCTAGCTCTTCTGCTCTGAGGTTAGTCCTTTGGACTAAATGTTTCTATGTATCTTTGCTTTAATTCCTTAATTTTTTGTTACAAATGAGGAGAGATCAATAGCTGCACCTCAGCTAAACACTCACACTTTCAAGAACCCAGTGAAATGCACCAAGGTGAATGATGTTTTGACATCCCAAAGATTACGGTCCTGGACTTTGGGATCCATTTTTTCCAACATGCTTTCATAAGCATGTTTTATACTTACAAGTATAAAACTTGTATTTATGCATAGAGTTTCAGGCAACATTAAGCAGCTTACATAACTGTGGTCCTGTTGGCCCTAATATATATAATGCTTTAGTACCCTAGCTTTAAGTGGCCAAAAGTTCCATAGAGATTAAAGGCAAGATAAGAATTTAAGGCTAGCTATCCAAACTCCCAGTTTCACACCTGCATACCTTCAATGGGGCAGAAGATGAGGGTGTGGTGTAAAATGCTCACTGTTCCTAATAAGATCCAAAAGGAGATCTCACTGCACAAAGCACAAAAGGAAGAAGTTTGGTTATAAAAGAGCCCTGTGAGTTTCCATTCAATTACTCAAAATCTAAGAGAACTTCCCCTAGTACAGGCACTGAGAAAGAAGTACTCCTAACAATGAGTTATTCTACTATCTAAAAACCTGAATTATAGCCACAGTTACATTATTGAGATATGGATTTAAATATGGATTTTGAATATGGATTTGAATGGTGTGTTATCCCTAAAAGTTATTTCATTCTGACATTTGTATTGTAGAAAGCTGATCTTGTTTCCCTGGAAAATAGTTCCCTCACACAACATAAGTTCCAAAGATTCTGTGAGAGCAGAATGGACCCTGTCTACTGAAAACCCACCCAACTCCTACAGCTGTCAGGCCTCAAAAAAATACATCCAAAGAATAAATGAAGGTTCATCAATAACCATCATTCTTTATTAAAATACTTTTTATATCTTCAAAGACTATATTTTCTATGTAACTCCTTCATGGTATGTTTTGGTTTGTTGTTTTTTCTTAATTTTTATCTGTTATTGCTATGTGCCACTGAGTCGCTTTCGACTCATATTGATCCTATGTACAACAGCACTAAACTCTGCTCTGTCCTGTGCCAATCACACTGTCTCCAATACACCCATCCCGATTACCCCAGTCACTGAATCAATTCACCTCATAGAGGGCCTTTGCCTCCTATGCTGTCCCTCCACCCTCCTAAAGCATGATGTCCCTCTCCAAGGATCGGTCCCTCCTTACAACATGTTCAAAGTATGTCTGACAAAGCCTCAGAATCCTTGCCTCCAAGGAGCAACCCGGGTTAACCCTCTGTAGGACAAATCTGTTTGTTTTATAAGCAGTCCATGGTACATTCAATACTCATCTCCAGCACCACAGCTCAAAGGCATCAACTCTCCTTCTATCCTCCCTAGTCACTGTTCAACTCTCTGACGCATAACAAGTGATTGCAAAGACCATGGACTGTATCAGACTCACCTTAAGTCTCCAGAGAGACACCACTGCTCTTCAGTACTTTGGAGAGGTCCCTAACAGCAGACTTTCCCATTACATCTTTTCATTTCCTGGCTGCTGGCCCCAATGGTGTTGACTGTGGAGCCAAGCAAACTAAAGCTGTGAACAATCTCAATCTCTTCACCCTCCATCCTGATGCTGCCAATTGGTCCAGTGGTGAGAATCTTTGTCTTCTTGATATTGAGCCTTAATCCATAATGAAGGCTGCAGTTCTTGACGGTCTGCAGCACGTGTTTCAGGTCCTCCTCAGTATCAGCAAGCAGGGTTGTGTCATCTGCATACTGCAGACTGTTGATTGATCTTCCACCAATCCTGACCCCACATTTCTCCTCATACAGCCCAGCCTCTCGGATAATCTGTTCTGCATACAGGTTGAAAAGGTATGGAGACAGGACACATCCCTGGCGTACACCCTTCCCAATTTTGAACCATGCAGTGTTTCCTTGTTCTGTTCTAACGACTGCCTCCTGGTCCAAGTATAGGTTTCGTATTTTAAAATCATTTAATCACACCGTAACTTCTGGTGCATGCTGCAGCTCAAGCTACTCATATCTTCTCTTCTGGCAGGAACTAAAAATAGAAACTTTCCAAGATTGAAAAGCAAACATTCAGAAATTTATCTTTTCCTCTCATTCTGTTCCCTTTACATATATTCAAATAATATAGAAATGTCTTTTTTCCTTTCAAGGCTAATTCCACCAACAATAACTCAAGTGGAAATCCACAATAAAAGCAACTCAAGTGCCTGAAAATCACTGCAAATTTATGAAAGCTTCCATCACTGCTCCCATCAAAGTCAGCAAACAAATATGGGGGTTCACTGGAACCTACAGCCTGCAATCCCCAAGCAGCCTGAATCTGGTCCCTACAGGCTCTCCTACCTAAAGGGCTACTGCTGGGGTCGAGGTAGGGTCCAGTCTGTGCCATTCAGTCCACTCTGGGCCAGTGACAAGGTAGGAGACCTCCATGAGCCTAGAGCGGACCACAAGCCACAGGACCCAAAAGGTAGGACTCATGATCTTAGCAGCAAACCTGGTTCCAGAACTGGGCGAAAGTCCTTCCAGTTTTTAAAGTCAATAAGATAAATATAATAAAACATTGTCTAAAAACCTCTAACAGAACTCCATTAGATGTCATCAAGTGGATTCCAACTCACAGTGTCCTTGTGTGACAGATTAGAACTGCTGCACAGAGGACCTGGACTGTATCTTTTATAGAAGCAGATAGCCACGTCTTTCTCCTACGTAGCCACTGGGTGGCCTGGAACAGTTAACCTTTTGACTAGTTCAGCTTAGAGTTATGGTACTGCGCCAGCAGGGCTCCTCTATTCTTATGCAAATGGGCATAATAAACCAGTTTCAGCAAATATTAAGAAACATGTTTTATTTCAAACATTCTTTGTGGAATTTCTACTATATAAACCCAAAAATGAGCTGAATTTAAAACCTACTTATGTGCCTTCAAATAATAATTTCAAGCTAATGCATACCTTCTGTCACTAAATATCACAGAACAAACTTTATACATAGTCTGATTAATGTAAAATCTTTTTAGGATAAAAAGTTTTAATTTTCATAATGTCACAGGTGTGATGAAATTATTTACAAAATTAAAAATCATTAAATTCAAATTTAATATCAGTGTTAAATCTTTAAGAAATAAACAATTTGCAATCTTAACCATGAGCTAAACTTCTGGGTAAAATAATTATGAAGTTACTATTTAAATTAGTGGTACTATACTCATTGCCAACGAATCAGAACCAATTCAGAGCTGACCCTTATGTGTTTCTTAAGTAGTAAATCACACTGACAAGAGATTGCCCAAATTTTCTCCTTTGAGTTGCTGATGTATTTGAACCACCAGAGGCACAGCCCTTGGATACACAGTGCAAATCCCTACATACAACGTCACCAGAGGTATCTAAATTAGTGATAGTTCATTTATGTGTAATCACGTATTTTAGTCCATTATTAAAATAACAATAATTTTAAAATCTTAAGAGAGGTTTATGAAAAATTAAGTCATATGAAAAAAGGCTTTGTTCAAGGAGTGTACCTTTTCCATGGGAAAATTCCTTTCCCATTACCTGATGTGCAGCTCTGGTAGATTTAGAAAACTGTCTCTCCAAGATGTTTTTCAAATTTATTGTCACGTGGGAACTAAAATAAAAAAGGAAAATGCTCATTTTGGATTCATTTTAAAACAAAATGGTCTTACATAAATGAAACAAATACATTTACTGAAAAGGTCATTTTAAACACTAAGTAGCATGTTATATAATTTCTTGAATAGAAACAATCTTCCTAAATTAATCTCTAAATTAATGCAATCTCTATAAGAAATACCTGTAAAATTAAGGGGTGGTGGGGTTGGGAGAAAAACCAAGTGAGTGGATTCTAAAGATGCTTTAGGAAAAATGAAAAATTTGGAAGAATTTTAACTAATTATCAAAAGTTATTACATTCTCTAGTTCCCTGTAACAATAGTCCTGAAGAGAAATGTGTCAATAAACTTACAAAAGATCTCTGATCTCACAGGAAAATTTATAATAAAATATAACTATTTATTTTGGTGGCAAATTGGTGGGAGATGCTTGGAAAAAAAAAGCTGTCAGTAAGTCTGACTTAATGTTAGTGAAGATAAGGGAGCTTCAGGCTCTAACTGGAGTGTGAACAATGTCACCTTTCGAGGAAGACCACTTGGCAACTGCATATCCCCTTTGACACAGCAATTTATCCCAGAAATTCCTTCTTCCAATACATATGGATAAGAATACAAAGATATAAGTGCAAGAACATTTGCTGAAGGATTCTTTCACTTATCAGAAGGAAAGGGAAGGAAAAATAAAAAGACTACATTTACAACAAGGATTTATTGTTGTTGTTGTTGTTAAGTGCCATCGAGTCGCAGGCGACTCATAGCGACCCTATGAAGGAGAGTCCTCGACGCTTGAGTGCCTTTCATCCTCTCTCCAGACAACAAGGGTGGGTTGGTAAAACAGTGCAATACATCTATACACACATCTGCCACCAGGACAATAAAGTATATTATACAGGAAAGCAAGCTGTAGGCAAGAGTAGTTCTAATAATAGTGAAAATGACAGTGAAGTATGTCCCAGCGCTCTAAGTGATTTATGTGGCTATCTGATTTAATTGTGAAATAAGTCCCCTATGTAGACATCATCTAAGATGGAGTCTTTATTTTAAAAACCTACATATTAGAAAAATAGATTTATTTAACAAAGTAAAATGAAAACTGTACATTCAAAGATTGCTCCTATATTGGATTTTAATTTTTTTTGTAAAGGTTGAGGTGAGAGAAGAAAGATTCAAAATGTTTCTTCCAAATAAGAGAATAACTAATATACTATTCATTTACTCTACATTCATTTTTGTAGCAGCATCACAATAAAGTTATTTTTAAAAATAGCTAGCAGTTTAGTTATTTAGGGCTCTCTTAATTCTCTGACACTTAAATCATTCTCTGTATATTTATCACATATGTAATTATCCTGAACAAATGAGTATTGACAACTGAAATAACTGTGGTAAAACATGGCTTTGAAGCTTCTCCAACACCAATAAGCTTCATGAAATTCTCTGTTTCAAAATTTAAAATTTCACATTTTTATCCACTTGAACCTCTGCAGGCAGTGAAGGATTAACTATCCAGAAGCAGCAATATCTCCTACATTTGAGAGAGAGGAAGTTTAGTTGAACTAACTAAGTGGTTGCATTAATAAATACTTTCATTGAGTAATAAATAGGCAAAGGGTTTCTGATTGCACATCTACACCTGTGTATGCACAGTAGGTTCTCAGCTGTCTAAGAAATTATTAGGGCTGAATTCCCAGAGGAGGGCACTGGAAGGCGTGCTGAAATAGAACCGAAATAAAAGGTGAGTTGACACTGAGGCTTTATTTTCATCAGTTGCCTCTCTATTTTTTTCTTTTACAAGGATGTACTTTAAAATACGTTAAATTTAAAAATTATAAATTTCTTATTCTAAAACCTTGAGAATTCAATTTATTACCCAGGACTAAAAGCCCATTATGGGGAACGAAATCCTGCCCCAAAGATATGTCTTTGATATTTGAAAGAGGTTTTAGTGCTTATCTTAACACATATATGGAAAGGTGGTTAATACTTGCAAAAGTTATTTTTTTCCCTTTCTTTTTACTAGGAAGAGGCACATCACAACGAAAACAAAGACGTTAGGGAAAAAACATACGCCTCTGCTGTGGCACTGTTTCTTGACCTGCGCCTTCCTCCCCGTCTTGAAGGCTTACCTGTGGGGAGGGGTGGGAAGGGAGAAAATTGTGGCAATGAATGAATGGAAATCCAAAACCTCTGTAAAAATAAAAATAAAATAAAAAATAAACAAAACAAAAAAAAGTATGATAATGAGATTCAAAGAGAAAAACCACAAGCTTGAGAGAAATACAGCAAAAAATATGTACACTGGAATAGGAAAGCAATATTGTATCTGGGTATCTAAGGTTTATCATTCTAAATGTTTTTTCCTAGTCAATTATTAACTGTTTCTTCTGTGCTGGAGGTATTTACTGTATTAAGGAGAGAGGATGAGAATTGGATAGAAGCTCCTCTCTACTAGAGATTTATATAAGCTCATGGGACATGAGGTAGGTTGCTTTTTTGGGACACTTACTCCCCTAGCACAAAGCATCCATCTGCACAGCAACTGGCAGTCTGTAGGATCCACCACTCATCAGACCCCTTAACACTGGCACCCAGTCACCATCCAGCTATGCCACAACTGACAGGATCCTGGCCCACTGCTCACCGGTTTGTGAAAAACCAGCCTGCATCTCCATAGTCAACTGAGTCATTCCCCTGACAAGTCTGAGTCTCTGGGAGACCTTCTAGTGAACCACCAAACTGAAGGCCCAGAAAGAAGCTACAGGACTGAACAGAGGAGGAACTGGTGATGCAGGAAATCAGGGACTTACACAGCAAGCCAAACATTTGGGACAATATTGGCATGATAATTCTTACAACTGGTCTGCTACTAATCTTATCAGAACAATTATAAAAACACGGTGAGTGCAACAACAAATGGGTAAACCATGAAAGAAACTAGTAATACTTTTAAGTTTGTGCTATAAATGATTAACAGTAAAAAATTCTAATACTAGTAAGAAATGCAGAGTTAAGGCCATAACTCCTCAGCTTCTAATTCAGATGAGAGAAAAGACATTTCAGTAACTAAACTATAAACATAAAGAAGAGAACACTGTGCTGTGATTATTAATTACATAACCTCTGAGAGGCTCAAACAGTTAAGCACTGGACTACTACTAGCCTAGAGATGGTGGTTCAAGCCCACCTTGATGATCCTTGTTAAGACAGCATGGGCAATCTGCTTCTGAAAGACCACAGCCTTGAACAATTACAAAGCAGGTCTTCTCTACACATACGGGGTTACAATAAGGAAGAAAGCTTTTAAGGTTTTCATTTATGTTCTGGGTTATCCCATCTGCTACATGTTTTTGGTGATTTATCTTTCTAAAATGGAGTAGGGGCTTTCTTGCCTTTTAAAATTTCATTTTGAGGGGAAACAAATAAAGAAAAAAGTTTAAAAAGTTTCCTTCCAAAATCAAATCCATGAGCCAATTCTGACACATGGTGTCATTCCACCAGATTTCTAATACTGTACATCTTTACAGAAAAACCATCTTTCGCCTTGAAGCGGTTGCTAGATAGAACCACCAGCCTTTTAGTTATAATGGGCCTCCTTAGGGAGGGTCAATAATGAACAAAAGGTTGACAAAAACTGTCATAAGATTAAAAAAAAACTGTCATAAGGTAAATTAGGGAGCAAAGGAGATCATGTATTTTGGTCTTCCATTATTTTATTTCATTCCAAAATGAAATCTAATACATACATTTCAAATAAATATTCTATATTTTCTTAACACAGAAGTACTCTGAGTAAACAGTGCACTGTCAAATATAAGTGAGGCTATGTAAACACCAGCACACGTAAGTTTAGGCTACACTACATTAACTTTGTGAGCAATTTACTGCAGAAAATAAAACTTACTAGGTGGTGGCAGTTGATATTCATAAAACTCCTTTTTCTCCTCCTCCAGATCATACCCCCTTAGAGTGGGACCTGCACACTGCCCATAAGAGTGAAACTAGATTGGAGGGGAACAAGAAATACAACAATGGAGAGAGAATTCACGAAATACCTAAGTGTTAGCAATCAGAACAGGTCAGAATTTATCTAAGCCCTTCAACAAACTGTGTAATCTTAAATGAATAAATGTCCAAAATGGCAAATATTCGAAAAGTATGATACAATGACAAGTTCTTAAATTATAAATTCTATTTCTAATCCACAGCGGTGACATGATGCCTGACATTGTGGTTTTTCAGTAAGTGTATGTACTTAATTAACACTATCGAATTTTTCCTATTTCTTCTTCTTGAATATAGTTTCTTGAAGACTCAAAAAAATTTCAATGAAAGGACCACATGGGTAGTCAGAAACATTCCCTTTGATGTCAACCATCAAACCAAATTCCCTGTCATCCTTTCTCTCTTCAAGTACTACAAAAACCATAAATGTGATAACTGGTGATACTTGCTGAGTATAAATACCCAGCGGAAACCCAAGCTATAGATCATCTGGGAAACTCTATCACAGAACAAGGCCACACAGATAGTTAAGTGTTCTGAAAAACACATCAGTTGGACACGAAATCAATCACTTTTGTTCACAGAACCAGGGGCTGCAGAAATCTCCTATGCAGGAAAGATGGGGTTCTCCAGCACCAAGCCACTTGCAAAATAGAAAAGGGAGTAAAAGAAAAACAAAAACAAGGCACTGCCATGGCTTCCAGACTCCTCTGAGGCTGTCTAGTTGAGGAACCACATAAACAGAGGCCATGCAAGGTGGACAGTCTATTTGAGAGGATAAAGTTTAGGAAAAAAAGCATTTTTAAAATACATTAATGTGACATCAAAACAAATTCTGTGACTCTGCAATACTATGTGATTATAAGAGGTAGCTGGATTATTTACTTTAAAGAATCATTCTCTTGATGTCAATTGTCAAAAAGGAATTTATAGTACCCATTTAGTATTTCATTTCCAGTATTAGATAAAATACTGTAAAAATATTTAAGTATCTATACATGAAATAATTTTTATTTTTTTACTGAGCTTACCTTCCTAGTCCTTTTACCACCACATGCCATTTCATAAGTAGTTTGTGTGCAGCCTTTTGTAGTGTCCACAAAATTAAGTGAAGTAGTGAATGTTACCGATAAAGACACAGATTGTCTAGGAGAGGAGAAAGGAATAACCATTTAATACTTCACTGGAACTAATATCTGACCCTCCAGTGGTTTTTTTAGAGGCTATAATTGCACAGGCAACTGTAACTGCCTATCTTTCTACCACAGAGGAACTGGTGGATTCAAACCACCAGCCTCTGGGTTAGCAGTGCAACTCTCTATCTGTTAGGCCATCAGAGCTCCTGAAAACTTCACTTAAGGGCACTGAAATTTGAATTTCATATCATTTCCACATGATATTGTCATGCAATGTATGGGAATGATCTTAAGAAATAGAACATGAATGAAAAGAAACCACATAAATAAAATAGGCTGCCTTCTTGGGGAATCTATGCTCTGGCTGCAGTGCTCATCAGCACCACCAAAGATAATTTCAAACTTTAAAAGAGGTGGGCACAGGCTGGAGAGATCCCCACCAGGCTCAATGTGAGAACTGAGAGAGCACATGAGAACTGAAAAGGTGGCTGGCTAGAGGTAAGGCCCTGCCCCCTTCAGCCCCACACCAGAGAGAGAAAGCTCAGCTGCCTTCAGGGAAAGGGTGGTCTCTGGCTACTGTGCTCATCAACACCACCAAGGACAATTCCAAACCTTGGAAGAGGCAGGCAGCAGTCAAGTAAGTTTCCTACAAGGCTGCATTGCAATCCAAAGAGATGCTGAAGGACCTTAGGAAAGAGGAGTGCTCTCACTTCACAGACCCAGATAGGACTCTTGGCAGTGAGTAGCCTTCCCCCATAAAGGGAATGCGTTTGTTTTTTTTTAATTTCCATTCATTCATTGTTGATCTTTTCTCCCCTCCCAACCCCCCGCCGCCCAGCACACTACCCTTTTAGAAAAGTGAAAGAAAAATTCTTTCATTGTTTTACAAACCCTCCCCTAGGTCCACTCCACTATGCAGCCTTCGCTCTGGACTCCCGTCATGACAAAAATATCTAATCACATATCCCTTTTAAGCAGTTTTCTCCCTCATCTGTTTCAATGCACTATACATTACTGAACCCATCTTTCTCAGTCTACCCCCAATCCCGATGTCAGTCCTGTTTTACAACAGTGGCACTATGCAGTATTTGTCCTTTTGTGACTAAGATACTTCATTCAGAACAATGTCCTCCAGGGTCCCCATTTTAAATAATATTGCATGAGTTCTTTGTTTTTTAATGCAGCGTAGTATTCCAATGTGTGTATATACCACAGCTTCTCTATCCATTCGATTGTTGATGGGCATTTAGGTTGTTTCCAACTCCTTGCTATTGTGAACAAAGCCGCAATAAATATACCTGCTTGGATGTCAGTTATGGTCTCTTTGGGGGATATTCCCAGTAGTGGAATTGCTGAGTCAAATGGTATCTCTATTTGCAACTTTTTGAGAAAGCGCCATACCGCCTTCCACAGTTCTGTTTCCTCATTTGGTAGGTTTTGTTTCCTTGTCAAGTATCAGCTGACCATAGATGGGTTAATTTCTGGGTTCTCAATTCTCTTCCATTGGTCTATGTGCCTGTCAAGAACAAACTTAACTTATTTTAATGCCAAGCAGGAAAAAAAACCCCTCAGCTACAATTTGTTTAGTCTTGAACACACTTTGGTTTATATCTTGGCTATTTCTAAAACAAAATATCTTGATTTTTATAAGACAGCATGAGGCTGAAGTTAAATCTTTCTAAGTCAGAGACAAAAGGACCAGACTCTTTTTGTCCCTGCTCTCCGCTGCCAGCACTCTCCAAGCCACAGCCACCTCAGGAAACATCTCACTCTTTTCTCCCATAGGTTTGGGCTATTCAGATTAGGGGGGAAAGTAAATGATGCAGCAAAACACTTGGTAAAATCAATCTGACAATTCAGTCATCTGATCTTCAAAGTAAACACCAAGTTGCTACTGCTCCTCTCTCTCCAAGTTTGTTGTTGTTGTTGTTAAGTGGCCTCAAGTCATAGGCAACTCATAGAAACCTTAGGAGCAAAAGACCTGGACACTTATA